TTCAAAGTCCTTGCAATTAGTTCCAGCCCTCGGCTAGCGCCTCGGACTGGAACTAATTGCGCGGACTTTGAAACCCCGTCAAGTCCTCATTGTCGGCCTTTAAACATTACTTCAAGCATGTTCGAAACCAAGCCGATGGTCGCGCTGCAAAAATTGCAAGTGCAAACGGGCCTTAACATATCTCGCCATTTTTGAAAGTCGTGAATTGATATGTGATTCTCATTCAAACACCTAGCATTATTCAGCACGCGGTTGTGTCTCATAAATTCTGGTGACTTTCAACATCTCTGATTCGCAATCCGTTTCCATCCGTTCATTTACGATTGAATCTGTCAATATCTCCATTCATATAGCATAAAGGGATAATAAAGAGAAAGTATTTGCTCATATTGACTTCTGGGGCTTTTACGTCACCACTTCTTTTTCAATGCATTGTGGGATCAGTTTCAAGAAAGAATAAACAAAAGAAATCCGCGCCTATGTTCTGTTCCAAACATATCCTACAATGCATTGCGTATATGGTATAGTCCATGCATTTTGATCAAAAATCGGTCATTTTTGGCCATTTTAGTGGGCTATAGCTCATGCTTTTTCATGCTCAAAAATCGGTCATTTTTTGGCCAATTTGGTGGGCTACTATACGTATAAGCTTCAGAGGTCTTTTACGATGTATATCTATTTTCAAACATGAACAAAATCTCGATAATGCTGGTGCACCTTGGAATTTAATATGTTATATATTGTTATTTTATAAGCACTTTCAAGTGATGGTAATGATACATTCTGCAACTAATAGACTGAAATGTTACCACAAAAATCCTATTTTATAGCACCGTTTATTAGTAGTAATCCATTTCCTTTCCAAATATTCCAGATGATTGGTTTACAAATTTGGTTGATCTYTACGAGGGAAAGATTCTTAGAAAGTTCCGTTTAGGTGATTTTCTGGACATGAAGCTTGTAGCTCAAGACAGSCTCATCGTCTTGCATTCGGGAAGTGTATACATCTACAACACTGAGACAGGTGCAGAATCTGCAAAGATATCATACTGGGACGATTTGTATCTTGATGGAAATAAACAACTTGTTGTGAGTGACAGCGGAGCTGAGGCAGTCTTYACTTACAGCGTTGATCAAATTCTAGTGATTTGTGATCTGGAAAGTGAATCATGCAGACAGATTGAAGGAGTAGGAAGATTTGTTGAATTTTGTTCTAGAAATGGAAACAATGTCATCGCTATTGGAAAAGGTGAGGCTGCTATTCAGGGGCGGATACAGGGGGGGTGAACTGGGTGAACGTTCACCCCCCTTTTTCCTGGATAAATTGAATAGAAAAATATTCATATCAAGGAAATAGGGAAATAATTGGTTGATATTTCGATAAACAACACTTTTCAAAAGGACTAACACTTTTTAGCGTCTCGGGCATCTAAGAACACACATGCATTCGCGTTGCTTTGGTACGTTTGGCGGGAAAATTAAATATGTTAACTCTTAAAAAATCAAAAGTCACCCCCCTAGAAAAAATCCTGGATCCGCCCCTGGCCATTTCGTCTTCTTGAAGGGACATGGTCCACTAACATTAAATGCGGTCCGTAATCTTGGGTCTCAACCACATGATCAAAAACACAGCTCGAGAATTAAAGAACAAATCTATCACCGCCATCTTGGATCGATAGCTGAACAAGCGAAACTAATGAGGTATGCTTTGTGATTTTCATCCAACATGGCGGCGATGACGTAACGTGAAACACGAGAAATGAAAAATGAGGTGACTTCAATCTGTTTTAAGGTCGACTCTTACAGTATCTCCATTCATATAACAGCAACAATAACAACAACAACAACAACAACAGCAACAGCAACAGCAACAGCAACAATAACAATAACAACAACAACAGCAACAGCAACAGCAACAGCAACAGCAACAGCAACAACAACAACAACGGCAATGACAACAACAATGGCAACAACAACAGCAGCAGCAGCAGCAGCAACAACAACAACAACAACAACAACAACAACAACAACAACAACTGCAATAACATAATAAGATAATGAAGAGTAAGTTTTTGTTTATTTTACATTGTAATTTTATTCTAAAACAAACACATGCCCGAAAAGGGATACTGGTGGATCATGGACCTTTATTAAAAATCGACTTCTAAACCATCGATTTACGCCACCTATGTGGTTTGTAATGCATTGTAGGGCTAGTTTATGGCGAAAACAAAGGAAATCCGGCATGTTTTTGTTTCAAACATATCTTACAATGCATTGCGGAATGTATGACGTAAAAGCTTTAGTGGGCATGGTTGTGAAAGCTCGATCAGTGTTAATCCAGTGTTAACTCCAWAGGTTTTCTAAGAGATAACCCTAATCGGGCTTTGAACAACAGTCTAGTGTGAATTAAAAGCGTGCGCATTCGTTCCTTTCCTCTCTCAATCAATAGTTGGGCGGCCTATGCAGCCCAGCCCTGATGTTTGGCTAGTATCTTTCGCAGTCTGACTGTGAAAATATATTACCATTGATTAAATATCATTTCTTATATGCTTTATAGATGATATTCTTAGAAAGTACGACACGCGAAGAAAGAAGGAGAGTACTCGCGATGAAGGCTTTTTACATTTCAACTTCTCTGTCAAACAAGCGCCGGATAATCGCCATGTTATTGTCGTGGATGGAAAGACTGTATCGATATGGGATATGCTGTCAGGAGAAAAAGTTCGCACTATCATCGGTAATTAATTTCAACTTAACAAGCAACAACAACAACAGCAGCAGCAGCATCAGCAACAACAACAAGAATAGCAACAACAACAACAACAACAACAACAATAGCAACAACAACAACAACAACAATAGCAACAAAAATAGCAACAACAACAACAACAATAGCAACAACAACAGCAACAGCAACAATAACAACAACAACAACAGCAACAGCAACAGCAACAATAACAACAACAACAGCAACAGCAACAGCAACAACAACAACAACGGCAATGACAACAACAATAGCAACAACAACAGCAGCAGCAACAACAACAACAACGACAACAACAACAACTGCAATGGCAACAACATGTAATACTATAAAGATTCTTCAACACCACTCAGCAGAATTTGGCCGCATCTGCTACACTATTATAATTCTTTATTAATATGCTTCTGAGGATAACTTCTCAAGTTTAGCTTCAGTGTTTCTAGTTTGTAATGGTCTGTTTTTTTGTTGCTTATATATAAGGTGTAAAACCCCACTCCGATCTTGGAGAAACTTCAACAAAAGATTTCTCATTAGTATCTATTGTTTATTTCTCGAACATCTTTTGAATCTCGTGGGATTGGTTGAAAACAATGAATACGTTAATATGCTTTATTACTTCTCCCAGCAATCCAGACCCGTTGGTTGGGGGTTCGGGGTTTCGGACAAACAACCCCACAAGCTTAAAAGGTCTAGTGTTTCTCTTTTTTTATTGTTCTATTTTAAAATTCTTATTTCATAAACTGTTTGTGAGAATTTTGTTATGAATTGCCCATTCTCATTCTAGCAGCCAGTTCTTACACTCTATACGTGCGTGATTGAACTAATTTAGTTAAACATTTAATGTAGGTCCGTATTATGAACTAAAACAAACCTCCCAATGCCAATTTGTAAGCGAGCCTTCGGCTGCAATCTCATAGCAGAGACGTTCTGATATTTTCATCTACAGGTAAATGCAATTTTGGACGTTTCCAGGTGTTGTCACGTGATTGTAAACGTGGAGTTTATTTCCTGGAAAAAAGACGAATGCACGGAGTTTTAAACCTTATTWCTGGGGGATTAGAAGCTACATTTGAAAATGAAGGATCACTATCTCATTTTGTTGGAATGGTTGATAAAAATCATTTACTTCATCTACGAAGGTAATATTTAACAAAGAAGAGTATGTCTATTGTAAGCCCGCGTTGCCAGCGGACTGCAGCTTCTCCATATAATCTAATAGGGCTTTTGCAATAGACCTTTTCAACATGTTTGCTGCAACCCTCAAATGAAGAGTGGCAAATAACATGACCATTTTTATCATAAAGAAATATTTTCCTGACGCTGTAAAAGGATAAACAATTCAGCTCAAAAATGATAACTTTTTGGGTTGTTGCCCGATTTTGCTTCGCTTTGGTGCAAAACCACAGGCTCTTCGAGTAACTTGTTTCCTAACCGCGAAAATGGCTATTCTGAGCTCAGAGTCTGTTTTAATTTCAGTCTTGTGGNAGAATTTGGCCGCATCTGCTACACTATTATAATTCTTTATTAATATGCTTCTGAGGATAACTTCTCAAGTTTAGCTTCAGTGTTTCTAGTTTGTAATGGTCTGTTTTTTTGTTGCTTATATATAAGGTGTAAAACCCCACTCCGATCTTGGAGAAACTTCAACAAAAGATTTCTCATTAGTATCTATTGTTTATTTCTCGAACATCTTTTGAATCTCGTGGGATTGGTTGAAAACAATGAATACGTTAATATGCTTTATTACTTCTCCCAGCAATCCAGACCCGTTGGTTGGGGGTTCGGGGGTTTCGGACAAACACCCCCACAAGCTTAAAAGGTCTAGTGTTTCTCTTTTTTTATTGTTCTATTTTAAAATTCTTATTTCATAAACTGTTTGTGAGAATTTTGTTATGAATTGCCCATTCTCATTCTAGCAGCCAGTTCTTACACTCTATACGTGCGTGATTGAACTAATTTAGTTAAACATTTAATGTAGGTCCGTATTATGAACTAAAACAAACCTCCCAATGCCAATTTGTAAGCGAGCCTTCGGCTGCAATCTCATAGCAGAGACGTTCTGATATTTTCATCTACAGGTAAATGCAATTTTGGACGTTTCCAGGTGTTGTCACGTGATTGTAAACGTGGAGTTTATTTCCTGGAAAAAAGACGAATGCACGGAGTTTTAAACCTTATTWCTGGGGGATTAGAAGCTACATTTGAAAATGAAGGATCACTATCTCATTTTGTTGGAATGGTTGATAAAAATCATTTACTTCATCTACGAAGGTAATATTTAACAAAGAAGAGTATGTCTATTGTAAGCCCGCGTTGCCAGCGGACTGCAGCTTCTCCATATAATCTAATAGGGCTTTTGCAATAGACCTTTTCAACATGTTTGCTGCAACCCTCAAATGAAGAGTGGCAAATAACATGACCATTTTTATCATAAAGAAATATTTTCCTGACGCTGTAAAAGGATAAACAATTCAGCTCAAAAATGATAACTTTTTGGGTTGTTGCCCGATTTTGCTTCGCTTTGGTGCAAAACCACAGGCTCTTCGAGTAACTTGTTTCCTAACCGCGAAAATGGCTATTCTGAGCTCAGAGTCTGTTTTAATTTCAGTCTTGTGGAAGTCAAAAGCGCAGGCTCTAGCAGCTCTAGGTTTCAAATACAGTCAACTCTCGCTACGTCCCTCGTGACCGTAATTTAGTGTCCGCAGTAGCGAGAGTCCGCAGTAACGAGAGTTACTTTCAGTCACTTTGCAATTAGCCGGGGATTCAGTATTTTACTGTCCGCAATAATGAGGTGTCCGTTGTAGCGGGGTGTCCGTTGTAGTGGGGTGTCCGTTGTAACGGGGTGTCAGTAAGGCGAGAGTTGACTGTATGCTTATTTTGGTTTGAATAGATGTAGCGCTAATTATCGTAGAGCACCAAAAATGCGTGCTACGTAGAGTCTTACGGACACCCCGGTACAACGGACACCTCGATACTGCGGACAGTAAACTACTGAATCCCAGGCGAAGAATATCAAGAAATGACTGAAAGTAACTCTCGTTACTGCGGACTCTCGCTACTGCGGACACTAAATTACGGTCCCGAGGGTGTCCGTAATAGCGAGAGTTGACTGTACCTCGTGAATTTCTATTGTGCGCTTTTTCTTTTTTTCCTTACCTTTCTTCCTTGTTTCCCACTTCTCCTTGCTTGCTTTATCGGTTCATCGTTTCCATGGTTTCTTCCTTGTTTTTCTCCCTCCCTCTCCTCCTTCCTTTCCTTCCACACCATTTTATTTCAGATTAATTCACTCAAGAACATTTCGAATCAATCATCCKTATTCCATTATACAGATGCAGGCGCTCCCTTGAGTTRATTGAYATACGYACTGGAGAAGGTGAAGACTGTCTGTCATTTARCACTCAAACGATTGAAATCCCACTACTAAGCTTTGATGGGTCCACCGCTATTCTTCCTCTGACAGACGACAGTATTCCTACAAATTTTCCCCGGACTTTGGTTGTTCTTAATACATCGTCGATGATACATAGAGTCATAGGTAAGAATAGAAGTACATAACTAAAACTTTSTAGTAATCTCGTCACCATCAGGCCTTGATCATACGTCGGGTCAGAGTCGCGTCGAACCAAATAGTTTGCATTTAGCACATGAACAGCTCGACGTATGAATCAATTGAGTCCGGCGCGACTGTAGCACGKCAGTGGCACAGCAGAGTCAGTCGTGCTGCACGTCAAAGGCTCGACGCTGATTCATACGTCGAGCTTTCGTCGTGCCGAACTTGACGCACAAAAATATCTGCTTTTGACAATAATAATGGATGTAAATTGCGTGTTATCAGACCTTTTCTTATGCTTTTGACTGCATTTGGCATTTGGACGTATGAATCAACGCCGTACTGAATTTCAGTCGACACCMACTGACTATTTGGTTCGGTGCGACGATAGCACGACCTATGAACCGGGCCTCCAATAATCTATTTTTAGACAACCAATCAGACGCGCGCACATATAACACGGCACCTGGTTGGTCCTTGTAAACGAATAACATTAATGGGACTGACTGAATATTGCCTTATCAGAACGAAAACCATCTCCAAAGTCTATTGCACATGCATGTGGGATATCATACGATGGCAAGTACCTTCTAAGCAGACACGATGACCAATACCTTATATGGAACCTATCAGAGGTCAAGGTCATACATGAGATATCAGTAACTCTAGATGGTCCTTGGGAAATTAAGACATCCTCCGACTCCTATCACATGATCATGATCTCCCAGCAACCTATATTCCAAATATGGGATATGGAAACAGGAAATCGTTTATATGAGGTGAGCCTGCAATATATGCTGGTCAGTGATCAATACATAACCGTCCTTTCTTTCGATGAAATTATCKCCATCCAATCAAGGAATACAGTGGTCGCTATAGATCGAGCCAGCGCTAAAGTGTTGGCAGCGGTTACTTTGGACAACAAGCTAAACGACGTTTGCTTCCAAGGAAACACAGTTGCTGGAATTCTCCCTTGTCATAAGCGTGTGGTAGTTTTTGCAAGTTTACAAATGCCTGAGAGGAATCAAATGAGCCCATTGGAGCCATCTGTGTTTGATGGGATCCCTGTGGAAACTAGACAAAGCGATTCAGAGGAWTATAGCGATGACCAAGAAACGTTTTACATAATGTAATCTAGATACAGATGATGACAAACGGAGCATAAATGATGGCATAGTTATGTAGTAATTAAAGCAATTGAAAAATCCAATTGTTTTTATATTTGTGTATATTTGGCTGGTGTGGATTTCACCAAACGTAGATTCTGTGAAAAAAGAGCAGTAGACTGGAAGGAAAATGTTTTTCAAAATTACGATTTTCGTCACAAGAAAGAGCATATCTAAAGTACGTTTTCGCCTTGCATTTGTTAGGTATGTGTAGCTATGAAAATTTTAAAATGTCTAGCACTACAAGGACGTGTTGCCGCTGTCCAGTTCAATGTTCCTAAAGGGACATGTTCCACCAGCATCTATTTGGTGCTTTTGTTCATGTTTGAAAATCAAAATACATCGTAATATATTAAAGCAAAAACTCACTCTTTATTATCTCTTTATACTATATGAATGAAGATACTGTAAGATTCGACCGTTAAATCGACGGATGGAAACAGATTGCGAATGGATATTCGAAGTCACCTCATTTTCCATATATGAAATATCTAATACACGACCGCATTGAATGCTGGTGGACCATTCAAGTGCTCTCTGAATGAAACATTTGTCGTTTCCGGCACTTACATACTCTGACGGTTTAATAAATCTCGGTAATTTGGCTCGGTTATTACTCATTTTGGTGCTCTTTTCCAAATATAAAACGTCAAGATTTTTAGTATTAAGTTGTTATCATAGAATACTCCATTTTCGAATTCCAAGCGAACAACCGCTGTTATATTTGACAGCAGATTCAATTACGCAAAGAACTTGCCAAACACAAAAGAAATCACGAGAAAATGTTGCCTGTATAATAGCGCTAACAATTTACATTTTCCCCGAGTTGAGGCTAACCCTGTATTCCCAGAAGGCTCATACCTTAGGTCTCATGGGAATACAGGGTTAGTCTCAACTCGAGGAAAATGAAAATTTTCAAGGCTATTGTAATAACGACATTTTCTCGTGCTCTCTTTTGTGTTTGGTCAGGTCTTTGCGCAAGAGAATCTGTTGTCAAATAAAGCAGCGGTTTTTCGCTATGAAYTCGAAACTGGAGTATTCCGTTTTCTTTAAAGTCAGACAATGTGGACTGGCAGGTGAATCATAGAGACTTTTCAAAGGAAGGAAACMATTCAAAGACCAATTATCAGGTCCGTTTAAAACGTCATCGCATGTATTTTAATGCAAATTACACCACCACTGTCTGATTCTACCCATGGAGACGGGCTCCTATAACGAGACAATGAAACGTGGGCGCGAGGAAACCGTCGTGTCGGGAACAAGAACAAAAACGTCGAATATCAT